AGTGCACCCTCTCCTGGCGACAGCAGAGTAGTGTCGCTTTCCTTGCAGTAGAAAACGCCACCAGGGCTTTCGCTAAAACATGGAAGTGTGAGAATGGTGTATTATATCGAACATTTATCTCACCTGTCTTATTGCTCTATCGAGGAAAAGTTATAGCGCGATACTTATCGTTATCGTTTTATCGCCCAGCCCTACTGAGAGGTAAATTAAATGTAGTTCTCCAGCCGTGTTCTGGACGGAAAACAGATTAAGTGATGAAATCACTAAGCAGAAGCAGCCAAACGTTACCGTGTAATCTGGATGTTGTGAGAAGGAGAATACTGCAGACCCGAGACCTAAAATCATCATAAGAACAAAACACCGAAGGCAAACAGTTCCATTAGGAACCAAGTGGCTATGAAATCACTTTTTGTGAACAAGCAAAGTTTAGGTGGAATCAGTGTTTGAATAACCTCAGAAAAAGACATGCCAGTCAGAACTGCATATGAGCACATATTTCTATATTGTGTTCATGCATTTACCCACAAAGTCAGGAGGAACATGTTCTATCAGTCCACTGATGTTTTTATGTGTGATGGTCAGTCAGTGTTTGCATGAACTCCGTCCTGCTTTACCTGCCAAAGAGACCTAAGCATGTACATATAAGCATATAAGTGAAACAATACTTATAATAATGTCTTTATCTGAAATAAGAAATTAGGTGATATTTAAGGCAACTTCAAAGCTTTAAACTATCTTCCCACTTCCGCGTGCCTGAACAGTATGGGACGCCTTTTTGCACTTTCCTTCAAACCATTGGCTGATGCATAAAATGAGAGACAGGTAATTCCCACTTGTGATTGGCCAATGCAAGTTTTGATTGACAGTCCAACTCTGTTATATGATTGGCCGATGCAAGAAATGATTGACAGTGTCTCCGCCCATTCGTTACGCCCACTGGTTCTCCGGGCTGCAGATACATGTACTTGTGGCACGCGTTAGCCCCACGCGCTGATCACCCCTTACTAGTAGGCTTAGCTCTGTTGTCGGCAATCAAAATGTTAAGAAGAGCCATTTTGTCCTTTCAACAAAAATGCAAACGCCATGGGAGCCACAACATTTTATGTCCATTTTACCATCATGGCTGTAAATATGTCTCAGTATGTGCTGAAGTACTAGGATACGCTAAAAATATAAATAAAAACGCAGGCTTACTTTGCTCTGCTTTAACCTGTAGGTCAGCTACAGCCGCTTTTCTCGCTCGCGTCTCAGTCAGGAAACTTTTCCGCAAAAGAGTTTCTCGTAAAATGTCTCAACATTAGACTTCTTACGAGGCTTTAGTTTTTCATTCACCAGCTTCGAATTATCCTGTTCCACCTTAAATGGTGCCTAAGGCGCCAGAATGTACTGCTATGCCATTTAAGGTGGAACGGGAGAATTCAAACAAGAAGTTGGTGAAAGAGAAACTGACTACAGCTTCTCGACTTATGTTTGACAGTTTCTCGTTGCAGACTAAACGTATCAGGAAACCAGCTCCATTCGTCTCTGAATTATCGATGTTTGTCTTGCATCATTCTCTTTGCTGTTACGTTAGTTACGAGCTAGGCGAGACTGCTGTCAGCAGTCTGCACATCAGTCTTAGCTGTTATGCGTTAACTCCAGCGTTTAAGACCATTTATTGTGAAAACTGTGGTAGAACTGTGTGATATACCGATACAGCAAAGGAGGATAATGTTATTTTATCTAAAAATCTAGTTCTGCTGTGGAACTGCAACAGCTCTGCAGCAGTAGAGAGATTATTCAGCTGCGCAGGCTCGCAAACAGAGTGAGGGTCACTGATGAGAATTTTGAGCCTAAAGTGTTGCTAAAAGTTTAACAAAGGACTCTGAATGTCATGTCTGTACATATCTCGCTATAGTGTTTAAATTGGAGCAGTTTTATTTCAACAGTTGACAATGCTTAGCAAAAAACTGTTTACGGTTACTTTTGTTGATTTTTTTTTAGAAAAAAACTGGAATGATTGACTTTGCCTTTGTTTGTGTAAGTTTAAATGTTGGTTACACTTAAATTTACTTTTTGGTGATCTTTTTGTATATTTGCAGCTTTACAATTGTATGTTTTTTTTCTGGCACAGGATTAAATGCAGTGTCTTGTTCACACTTTCAGTTGGGCTTGTTTGGTGTGTCAGGTGGAGATACACAAACATTCTGACAGTCACCTTTGAAAGTAGCTAAAAAGTAGTGCACTACTTTCCAAAAGTAGCTAAAAAGTAGCCACTGCTTTTTCCGGAAAAGTAGCTAAAGTGTAGCTAGCTACAAATTTTGGGAAAGTAGCTACAGATTAGCTAGCTAATATTTTTTCACATAGCTATACCAACCCTGCCAGAGAGTCTTTCAGAAATAAAGATGGGGAGGGGTTCACCACTCTGTGAAAGACTGCACGATCAAATAGTGCAACAATTCAAGAATAACATTTCTCAACGTAAAATAGCAAAGAACTTGGGGATTTCATCACGGTACATAATATCATTAAAGATTCAGAGAATCTAAAGAAATCTCTCTAAGTAAAGGACAAAACCAAAAACCAGTATTTGCTGGCCATGATTTTTGGGCCCCCAGGCAGCACTGCATTAAAAACAGACACGATATTGTAGTGGAAATCACTGCATGGGCTCAGGAACACTTCAGAAAACCACTGTCTGTGAAAACAATTTGATGATGAAACACAGTGGTAAACATGCCCCTATCCCAACTTTTTTGGAACGTGTTGTTGGCATCAAATTCAAAATGGGCATTTAGTTTCAACATTTGATATGCTGTTTTTTGTAGTATTTTCCTTTAAAAATATGGTTTACTTAATTTGCACATCATTGCATTCTATTTTTATTTACAATCTGCACAGCGTCCCAACATTTTTGGAAATGGGGTTGTAAAAAACATGTTGCAGGCATGAAATTTGAAAAGAGTGGTAAGAGTAGTTGTGACGATGCCTCACCGAACCCTGTGAGGAGTCACAAAGTCAGACTCATCAAACCATTCCACTCCACAGGGGTGTTGCTATCCTACAAGGGTGGGTTACAGCAAGGGTAAGAACAAACACAATCTATAAGCAATCAACATCACAAGGCACTAGTAAGTTATGTTACAAGTGCAAGTACTGTAAATACAGTGTGTACATTCCTTATCCTGTCTCTCTTTCTCTCTAGGTTCTTAGTTACAGACATCACCCCTCCTATGAGCTGGCCGTGGGCCCTCCGGCGCTCTCATGAGTGAGCTCAGTCTGCTCTGCCTCCCTTTTACTGACTCTGCTAGGGAACAGACAACAGCTAAGTATTACAGGAAAGTATAACAGATTAGTATACAAGTAACTATTACACTCACATACAAAGTCACTTTGGTGATGGACAATACCTTGGCCTCATCACAGTAGTTTATGAGGTTTTCGTCCCTTTTTACACTTATACAGGTCAAACACAATTTACTAATTACTTCTTTCTTATTTTTATTAGCATTTCAGATACCATCCCAACTGTTTTTTTGCGATTATATGTATTATGCTCCACTGTAGCTGAAACCTGGATTGTTTTCCTTCTCTATGGTCTTAAAAATAATGGTGAGAAAAGGGTACTGTGAGCTGTGTGACTGCAGGTTTTCAATCCAAACAAGCATGAGAACACCTGATTCTACAAATGTTTAGTTATCTGAGAAGTGCTTCTGCTTCACTGGAATGAAAACCTGTAACTACACTGGTCCATTGCGAATAAGATTGGCTGCCTTAGAAGAATCACTGAGTGCATTTACATGCACGCAATAATCTGATCATATCAGATTTCTGCAGTTATCTGATTATTCAAATGGTCATCTAACACCATACTCTGATCTAGAAACCTGATCTAGAAATCTGATTTAGAAATCTGATACAGAGAGCTGGATTTTAGCTCAGTAATCAGATTTCTCAGTGCATGTAAACTCTTACCTAGATTTCTTTAGTATTTCTCAGTCTGCGCATGGGTGGAGCAGACTGCTGTACCGGAAATAAGCAAGAAGCGTTTCTGCGAAACAGCAGCAAAACACTTTTGGAGCGACACCAAAACCAACTACATTCTCGCCAAAATGAGGGATTTAAATATTCTTCATCTTCTAGATGATACGTTAGTTTTTCAGGTAAAGTGGTGCAATGTTTAAAAAAGAATCTGCAGCATGAAGTTTGAGTTTTACATTAAGTTTATGTCATATCTTCTTCTGTGAGTTTATTGGCCAGCTGTAAAGCAGAAATCTGATAACTGCCTGACTCATGTAGATGTTTTCACATTATCTGATTACTCAAGTCCATATAAATGCACTGATTGGAATACTGACAAAATCAAATTTTCTGCAGTTATCGGATTATTAAGTGCATGTAAACGCACTCACTTTTTGGTTCCCTAAAAAAGCCTTCAATTAAGAGGTTTCTATTAAATTGTTGGAGAAGCATCCATTGACTGGTTCTTTAGAGTACCAAAAGTGGATATTCTGTGACAATGCACCAAAGAACCCTTTTGACACCACTATTTTGAATAAAGCCATTGAATAAACTTCAGCCTGTTTTTTGAGTCTAACAAAACAGGGAACAGTTTTTAAACAACTTACTCAGTAAAATGAATAGGGACAGCTCAATGTATTTTTGAACCCATCGAGAATTAATTCATTTCAAGTATATAAAGGGCTATGTCTGACCATCCCTTGAACTCTGTATTATTATTATTATTATTATTATTATTATTATTATTTTGTCGTCATTGTTTCATTTTCATATGGAAATGTTTTTTGTTAAATTCTGTTAAATTCACATTACATTTCTAGACATTTTAATGTATAAAAGACAAGGAGTCTTGCAATTTATTCATAGCCAAACAGATGACCATTTGGCCTGCTGTGGAACATTTTATAGAAGTATTAGTGACTAATAATAATTGTAGCAAAGCAGAGTGGAGTGTGTTTAAGTAAATCTCTGTAATGTTCAGAGAGAGGAGAATCTCTTACTTGGTAGAAGTTCCCTATCTGCTGTCTCTGTGCAGATTGGGTATGGATAAAACAGATGTCCTTTTTCCAAAGGGTAAGGGATCATTCTAAAAGCTGTAAAACAAAGTTAAATGTACATTAGTGCTGCCATTCCATCATGCATTGAAACAAATTATGGCAATTTTTACAATTTCAATCTTAAAATGTTATATAATAAAATGCTATATAATAAATAATTTGCTGTCATGCTATATAATGTTTTCAGCCGCATCAGTTGTGTTGTAAGATGAGCCATGGCAGAAGTGAAGGATTTCTTCATTTTGGTAAAAAAAAATCCTCCATTTTTGAGCGGTTATCAAGCTAGCTACCTTGTCCAACATGAAACGTTAAAAAAGAAGTAAAGATAGTTCAAATCTTTACCTGGTGAACACAAATTGGACACATTGAAGATCTGCGTTTTATGGCATTGTGGTCCTTAATCAGGGAGATAATTTTGAGGGGTTACAGGACGGTTGTGTAAAAAGTACAAAGGCTCATATTTCAGATAATATATTTTAAAGAATATTTTTTCCACACCAATGATACAGCATGTCATTGTAAACTAAACCAAAGAAAGTTTGCAGCTGTGCTTAGCCTAGCATTTAATCGAGCAGTTACCAAGCTAGTTAACTCACCTACCACAAACATTAAAAATACAAAGGGTAAAGACACAGTAAATACAGAACCTCTTGGATTGTTTAGACACCTCTAAAATGAGCACTTCCCCTATTTTGGTGCTATATTTAGGACCTCTCATTCAGAGGTCAACATAGCCAAAGCAGTTCACCAACGCTGAGCTCAATGCGAAGTTTCAGAGGCCAAATTTATTCACTTTATTGTACATCACGATGAATTCCACTGAAATAGAGTCATTTCAAAAGAGAAATTTGCTGCGAAAATCTAGTGTGACTGGGTTGTTAATGACATTATCTGTAGCCCTCTCTATGTCTACTGAAAACCAACTGAGCTTTTTGAACATAGTTATTCTGAATTTACTGTACTCCCAGCACCAAACCTCAGTGATGTCTACCATACTGCTTGAAACTGGAGCTACAACAAAACACCTGGTGGCTACTAGAGCAAAAAGTGAAATCTCCAAGCAAAAAAAATCGTAGGGGTTCAAGCACTATGGGTCTTTATTAGTTCTATAAGTCTCCATTAACATCATCTGTTTTTGATAATTAGTAATAATTAGTGTATTACAAGGCTCTCAAGATAAAAGGTCCACATTGCTTCAAGCTGTACTTTGCTTTGGCTAGTACAGCTCAGGTAAGATTTGAACTGAGCACCTTCTTGATTGGAAGGGGGATGTTTTCATGAGCCACAAGTGGCCCATGGCAACCATGCATTTTTTGAACCAATTTATTGATAGGGAGCAATATAGAACCAAGCACCAACTACTTCTTAACATTCAATTATTGTTTTTATTGAGTAATATAATTGAACTGAATATGAATTCATAATACATACATAGTTTGTAATGTTGTATGTATGAGCTCCTGTTGTCTCTTATAATCAGACAATCATTGATGTAGTTGTAGACCATCAAGAAAAAATAAGCCAGGTGGAAGCTTGGTGGAAAACATGACTCTTAGAAATGATTTGCTCAAATGAAATGAAAGAATTTCCTGTAAAATTAAGCAAAATACATATATCTGCAACATGTTAAGGCTCATTAAGTTTAATAATTTCAACAACTGTCATGTCTTAATTTAAATCTTAGACAGAAATAATTACATTTTAGGCAGATGACAGTACACTGAGCATTGTAAGAGCCAACTTAAGCCAAATGTCATACGTTTCCTCAGGTGATTATTTTCAATGTAAATGTCAATTTTAGTCAGAATCAGAGCATAACTGACAGAGTTATGGTCCCTTGTGTCAGAGTCGGCCAGGCCGAACTGATTGATCTATAACTTGCAATAATACTGTGCTTAAAAGGCAAGAGTTTATTAATATTTATTGTCGATGGTTGTTTTGAGACCAAGTTTGAGACGATGCAAAAACATTTCAGGAAGGAGTATGAAAAAAATCACTTTTCAAACTTGCCGGGCTTGGTGGAATACATAGAATTCAGAAACTTTCTTTGACACAAGATAGAGATTGCAAAGCCTACTACTGTAAGTATGTCTGAAGTTATAATTTGTATTTAATGGTGATACTCCTTCGCCAGATAAGATATTACCATTCCTGATTCTGTGGCCAAGATGGGTTTAAATCATATTTCTAATGTGTGACTGACAGTGTTTAACAGTTACATATTTTATGTATTTTTAGGCTACAAACTAAGTCTCTCAAAGACTTAATGCCTACTAGTAATAATTATAGGATCGAACATATAGAGCAACAGGTTGTCTGTAAATAAAGAAATGTTTTGCTCTATACCCCATTGAAACATACCCTGAAACATAAGGAGTTGCTTTGAGCATTAAAAGATAGAGGTTCTACTGCAAGAGTGAACAGGAGAGCACTTAAGGAACCACTTAAGCCGTGCCTTGTGCCCCTTGATAGGTTGACACTCTGTGACAGTATCTTATTTGTGATAACTGAGGCTTTAGGGGAAGAGTTTAGGAGATGTACCCATGCAATAAAATTGTCATGAAGACCAAATTTCCTCATAGCTATCCAATTGGCATGATAATTATAATCCCTGTTGAAAACCTTCTCCACGCTTAATGAAACTATCACCTTTGGGTATTTGGATGAAGGAGTATGGTGGACGTTAACAACAAGACGAATACTTAAAAAAATGTGCCAACCCTTAATGAAATCTGTTTGATCAGTTGAGATGATATTAGCCATAAGAAATTTCAAATGGGTAGCTAATGATTTGGACAGAATTTTTTACATCCTCGTTTACCAGGGGAATAGGGCAATATGGACTACATTTAGTTGCGTTTTTACCAGGCTTCAGTAACAGTGTGATTGATGCTTCTGTGAGGGACTGAGGCAACTGACCATGTACCAAAGAATGTTTGAACATTTTAAGCAACAAAGAAGCTAATTTGATGGAAAATGTATTATAGAATTTGATTGACAACCCATTGGGACCTGGAGATTTACCAGTCTATATCACAGAGACTGCATGCCTGACTTATTTTAAAAGTTTGGTCCAGTTGTTCTTTTTGTTTAGAGAAAATGGTAGGAACCTATTTTATCAAAGAACTCTGTCATCAGTGCGTGACATGCGGGTGATTCTGATCTATACACATCTGCATAAAAGGTTTTGAAATTGTTATCGATTGTAATGGGATTAGTAGTCAGTTGGCCATTTTTGTCATGAAGTTTAACTATGTATTGTGATGCAGATTTAGTTTTCAATTGATGGGCTAAGACTGCCTGCCTTTTCATTATGCTCATAGAAAAAGCTACAGGAACGCAGAACAAGTTTTTAAGCCTGATGTGTTGATATTAGACTATATTAAGACTGGAGTGCTATTCTTTCTTTGTAAAGCTGTGAGAGAAATATTGTTGATCAATTTATATTATAGGTTGAGTAATCTGTTGTAGTTTTTGTCTTTTCTCTGTTTAGATGTGCAGAGTATATTATTTGACCTCTAGGAATGACCTTAAGAGTCTCCCAGAGTAAGGGTGGGGAAACCTCATCTGATAGGTTGCTCTTATAGGCTGATATTTGTTCACAAAATGTCTCATCTGACAATAATATGGAGAGAGTGAAGGAGTAAGCAACAAAGGTGCATGGTCAGATTCTACGATGGCTGAGTAATCTATGTTTAGTACAAAAGCAAGAAGATTTCTGTTAAAAGGAATCTATTTTAGAGTAACAGTGATGAACATGTGAAAAAAGGAAAAAGCTTTGCTTTGAGGATTGAAAAAGCACCATGGACCTATACATCCTGCTTGGTTCATAAACGCTGACAGTTCTGTGGCCATTTTAGAAGGTTTATGTAATTTGGAATTAGAGCAATCTAGAACTGGGTCTATTACACAGTCGCCCCACCAGCCAGCGATGAGTGAATTGATGCCATCATGTTGTCTTTTAGATGTTCACGCTGTGTACCCAGCAATTCCATCATTTTCCGTCTACTTTTGGAAAACTCCTCATTGACTTTAGCGTTTTTTATCATGCTTGCTAGTTTGCCGCTTAGGCTATGTTCACAAACCAAGTAAAATTGGCCTAAATCTGATTTTCTCACCAAATCTGATTTTATTGTAAGGCTGTTCACATCTTTTAAATGTGTCCTCTACGCGACATTAGTCTGAACAGATCATGCTTTTTAACTGACCCACATGCACAAACGAACATTGCTTCACATGGCACGCTCATCCAGAGGTAAACAATCAAAATGGAGTCAATAGTAAAAGCCATCCCTGGAGGTTTCAGTTTCATCTTTGCCAGCATCACAGGAGCTAATAAGAAGCTCCAATGGCTGACATCTGGGCATATCACCCAGATCACGTTCTCCTGCAGCCTCATATGGCCATTATGTTCAACATCTCTTTGAACATGTTTTTGTACAAATAAAATTAAAAGACACTTATCCGAAACGCTACATCACCCCATATGTTTATGAGAAATGCAAAATTATGATGGATGTTGAGTTGGACCTATGTAAAAGTCAAATGAATTCTGTTCTGGCTGTTCAGATTGATTTGCACTGCTGCATATCAGATACATATCAGATTTCAGTACCACATATGAAAGGAATTAAAAATATCATATTCAATGTGGTATTTGATGTTTACACTGCCACATAGATAACACATCTGTGTCACATATGAAGAAAAAGGTCAAATTTGAGCCACTTTTACCAACTGTGAACATAGCCTTGGAGTAGCCTTCTTCATGCCTTGCTCTGTTTTGGTTTTAGAGGTCAGCACTTCAGTTCTTTTCAAAAGCGAAATAACAAGGAAGTAAGATGATAACTAGTACTTATTGTTTACTAGTAATGAAACAGTACTGTGTATTTTAAGTTATTTTGCTCGGGGTCCCTCAAAGACACGTCCGCTCCCTACATGCTCTCAACCGGAACCTCCTTGATCTAAACAATTGAGAAAGCATATTCACAATACTCCATTACGTCATTAAAAAGCCATTTTGGTAAGCAAGCTGT